AGGGCTGGACATGCTGAATCGAAGGTAGAGATTTCTGACTGGAAGCTGGGATGTGGTTCTGGAACACAGTAGGGTCCAAAGCTCTCAAGAAGGGTGAAGAGAGCCCTGGGTTTTCCAATAAGGAGCTGGTTGATTGCCTTTGAGAGTCTGTGGGCAGGAGGAAGAAATCTGAATGCAATAGGTTAAAGGATGAATGGGAGATGAGGAATGATAAGAGCACATGTGGACAGCCCACCCTTTCATTTGGGAAAGGAGACAATAAGGATTTTAGGGTCTGGAGTGTGAGACAGAGAACAGGTTTGGTGAAAACAGATTTTAAAATCTTCAAAAGATTAAAATCTTCAAAAGCAAGAGTTGATAAAATCACTCAGCAAAAGAGTATACAGTGAAAAAAAGAAATGTGCCTAGCCTGGACCTTGGTGAGTAAACACACTTTTACTGGGTATACAATTCTAGGTTGTCAGGTTTTTTTCTGCCAATGCTTTGAAAATATTCTGCGGTTTCCCATTATATCTAACAAGAAGTCAGCTGTGAGTCTAGGTAACGTATCTTTGTTCTCTGGTGCATTTGAGATTTTCTTTTTGCCTTTGGTTTTTCTTTTTGTTTGTCTTTCTTAGAGTTCATTAGGTTTCCTAAATCTAAGCATCCACAGCTATCGTCAGTTCTGGAAAACTCATGGATATCCTCACTCCAAAGATGCCTCTCCCCCATTTTCTCTCCTCTCTCCTTCCGTAATGCTCATCAGACGGACACATTAGCCCCTCTAACTCTTGACGGTTTCTCTTAACTTCTCTTATATATTTGCGGTCTGTCTTTCTGTGCTGCATCTAGACTAATCTCTTTATCTTTTTTTCTTTCTTAATCTCAGTTTATTATTTTTATCCAAATCACACACACACACATATAGTTTAGAGAGCCAGATACTTGTACCAGGCTTGTGACAAAAAATAGTAGTACCCTGACTATTGTTCCTTATCTTCTGCCCTCCAGGAACTTTCAACTCTTTTAACTGAATCTTTTAATATTTGCTTCCATAGGTATAAATAACAGGTCTGAATTACTCCTCGGCTTTTCAGTTTGGTGTGATCTATTGTTTTTGTACCATGGGAAATGTGGATTTAGCTTTATTTCCTCTCCCACTCACATACCAACCCCTCCCAACACACACATTTCCCACACCCAGACGTGAGATAGACTTGGTTAGATTAGCATTGAGTCTTTACATTTTATGACGATGAAAACTCTGGTCCCTGCTGAGCCTGTATGAATTATCATTTCCTGAACTTCTTTACCTTTCCCTTCCTGTTCATACCCAGTACTTAGCCTTCTATGCACACAACACTAACGTAACCCTCACCTCTCCTCTGGTTGTGGGGGCACTGTCTGTCCTGTCGTGAAGGCTTTTCCCGAGCTGCCTGGCTGGGGCTCGTTTCCAGGCCGGCGTGCAGCTCCTGTCTTGGACTCCACTCTGCCATCATGCTGAGGGGTTCACCAGCTTCTTTCTCATGTTTGGGCTCCTGACTCCTGGAGCCCGCATCTTTCTCGTGGGATTCACAGCCTCATTTTGGCACAGTGCCTTCTCTAGTAGCTTCCATGAGGAAGAGTATATGGGATGTAATTTTTTCAGACCTTATGTGTTGAAAAATATCTTAGTCTATCCTCATGGTTAGATGATAATTCAGATTGGGAGTAGAACTTGAGGTTGGAAATAGTTTTTCTTTGGACGTTTGAAGGCCTTGCTGCATTTCTTCTAGCTTCCAATGTTGCTGGTGGAATTTTGACATCATGTTTTTCTTGATCCTCTGTATGAAAACTGTTTTATTCTTTCTAGAAACATAGAGGATCATCTCTTATTCCCAGTGCTGCAGAATGTGCTCATGCTGTCTTGGTTCCAGTCTCTTTTCTAGCTACTGTGCAGAGCCCAAGGTGGGTCCTTTCCCTTCAGAAACTCATGGCCTTGAGTTCTGGGAAATGTTCTGGAATTATTGTATCCCCTTCATTCTTAATATTCAGTATTTCTGGAACTCTTACTGCATAAATGTTGGATTTTCTAGTCTGGCCCACTGTTGCTTTCTCCTCTGATTAGTTCTAGTTTTCATACTTTCTAGGTCTTTCATCACTGTGATTACTTTTTTGCTTCCTAAAACATCTTTTTTCGTATCCTGAGATTTTTTATAAGAATCATTTTCCTGTTTCATAGATCAATAATTTTTCTTAGTCTCTCTAAGGCCATTGATACCACCTTTCTCCTAGTTTTCTTTTCCATGCATGGTCCGTTTCTCTGGGCCTCTGTCTTTCATACCCTGGAAGATTTCCTAATGTGTCTGCAGATCCCTGGGCATCACTTGGTTCACACTTAAGAATGAGGTGTGGGCCGGGCGTGGTAGCTCATGCCTGTAATCCCAGCACTTTGGGAGGCTGAGGTGGGTGGATCACGAGGTCAGGAGTTCAAGACCTGCCTGGCCAACATGGTGAAACCCCATCTCTACTAAACAGATACAAAAATTTAGCTGGGTGTGGTGGTGCATGCCTGTAATCCCAGCTACTCGGGAGGCTGAGGCAGGAGAATCGCTTGAATCTGGGAGGTGGAGTTTGCAGTGAGCCGAGATCGTACCATTGCACTCCAGCCTAGGCAACAAGAGTGAAACTCTGTCTCAAAAAAAAAAAAAAGAATGAGGTGTGGGCTGCCTGGGGGCTGTAGCTGAGGGGTGGGCTGCCTGGGGGCTGTAGGTGAGGGGTGGGCTCCCTGGGGGCTGTAGGTGAGGGGTGGGCTCCCTGGGGGCTGTAGGTGAGGGGTGGGCTGACTGGGGCTGCAGGTGCACTGCTGAGGGCTTGCTCACTGTAGCTCCACCACAGGGTGGTCACTCAGCTATTTTATTGGGAAAACTCAATGTCAGATTCTAGATATTTTCTCCTGGGTTGGTCAGGGTCCTCAGAAGAGGCTTTTCTAGTCTCCTGCTAGAATGCTAGAAGCTGAGTAGAAGAAACCTAGGGGTCTCAACATTCACTTTTCTTGGATTTGTTCATTATCATATCCCACACCCAATGGTTTTGCTCCAAGAGAGTCACTTGTAGTCTCTGCCACTGTGGCAGGGGGTCCCAGCTGCTTAGGAAGGAGGAGGAGTCTGGGGACTCGTGCCTTCCTGCAGAGAATCCCCCTGGTTCTCTACTTATCTCACCTGGCTTTTCTCTCCCATGGAAGAACCTGGTGCTGCCCATTCCAGAGCCTTCCACAGCTCCTTCCCAGCTCTTTCCTGCTGACTTCGGGTTCAGCATTCTTGAGTCTGCCACACCAGTTCTCTTACCCCTCTGCTGTCTGGTGTCCAAACCTTCTGTCACTGTCCCCTTTCCCTTCTCTCCATCTGCATGGCTCTCAGGCTCGGGAGAGACCTTTATAGTTCCCCTTTCCCCCCGCGGGGGATGTGTCTCTCCTCTCCCCTGATGCGGAGTGGAGTTGTGTCTAATAGTTGACTCCTTGGGGAGCTCGCCTTTCAGGGATGCACACTTGATGAGGGGTCTCTGGTCTCATGCTCACCTTTGACAGCCCAGACTTTGTCTCCTGTCTCCTGCACGAGCAGCACATTGGAACCCAAGCTCCGGGTCCTTCGGGACTGACTGGCAGATGCTGCAGGGCAGCACTCAGCTGCTGCAGAACTCCCTCTCTGGGTTCACAATTTATTCTCTTTTTGGCCTCTGATGATCTTCTTTACTCTCCTGTTGACTTGACATTAAAATATTATTTTAAAATATGAAAATAATAATTATGAAAAGAATTGTGTTTGGGAATTCTGCCCCAGAGAGGTTTCTGCAGACCTCTGGTCCCCCGCACAGCCCTCACCGTGTTCCTGCAGCACTGTGGGAAGCTTGACACGCCCAGGGTTTCCCTCAGCCGCGCTTTGGGACTGGGAGGCTGAGCACCACGATTCCCACTCTACAGCTTGCAAAGCTGACTGGCGCATGGGGAGAGGGAGGCAGAGCCTGTGTGGAAAACGAGTTGGAAGCTCTTTTCGATGAACCATGCTCACAGAAGACAGCGACAGGGGTCTTCTCTGGTCAGAGGGGGAAGCCATGGGGTGGCTGACAAACGCCCCACAAGCTCTCTGGGGCACGGGTCATAGGCAGCACAGTAGGAGTCCTTGCCTTGATGCTACATTTTCACATGAATTAAGGAAAGCGTCGTCCCTGCCCAACCCAGGAAGGGTAAAGCGCATGCCTGTGAACACCTCTGCCTTACAGCGCAGGAGCAGGCGTCTTAGAAGACTGTGGGAGGGGGACCGGCTGCCAGCACCCCCGGCTCTCCCAGGAAGCCCTCAGAGCCAATCCACAGCACTGCCACCCACCTGTGTGGCCCCAGGAGTCACAGGGCACGGTGGTGTGCGCTCCAAGGGCTTCACTAGACTCAGGATTCCCGAACAACCCTCGCATTACAACCAAGAGGTGTGACTGCAGCCGCCTCATCCGTTCATTTCCTCTGCCATTCACTTCCCCCTCACAGAATGAAAGTGAGATAAGGCCTAGGCCAGGTTCCACCTCTGGGTCCCATTAGTTTTCACTCAAAGTCAAGGTCTCGTGAAGAAGTGAACACACCTTCAGTCATGTTGGATGGATTGGGGTGGTTGGTGGGAAGACAGCTCTTTGTTACTTGATGTTTCTGCCCACCAAACTTACCGTGCTCCTGGGAAAATGGCAGAGGACAATTAGGGGCCAGGGAGGATTGATGGATGGCAATGGATTTGCCAGGAAATTGTTTTGCTTTGCAAAATCCTATATTATGAAACGAATGGTTTTAACTAGTTTTACGCCCTTCTGTGTTAGTCACTGGTGAGCATCATCCTAGTTGATCTAGTTCTCATATAAAAAGGAGTCTGAGCCATCTGTAAAAGCATTCAGTGTTCTGACTGCAGCACATTGCCTGCTCTTTCCTTATACGTGTGTGCTCTTCTTTTCACTACTGACTGTGCTGTCTGTGCCTGCCACTCATTCTGTCCTTTCCTTCACAGGTACTGCGACTGCTTCGCCAGTGGAGACTTTTGCAACAACTGCAATTGTAATAATTGTTGCAATAACTTGCATCATGAAATTGAACGGTTTAAAGCCATTAAGGTAATAAATGTCCATTAAATGCATGCATTTTAAAAGCATTTCAAACTGTTTGAGATGTTCATAAAATGATCTCCAGAGATTCCTCATTGGAAAAAATCCACAGTTTTGAAGAATTTACATTGAACACGACTTGATTCCTGCTGGTGGGAGTATTGAACCATGACAAGCGGCTGTTATAAAAGTGGTAGGCAGAGAAAGGCCTTTTGCCCTTTACTATGTGGGAAGTCTTCAGAGATGCAGCAGCCTAGGAAGGTTCTGATTCAAGAGCATGCGAATGTCCACTTTGTCTTGGAGTTTAGACATTTGGGGTCATTTCACATAGCAGATAAGCATGAGCTAGAGCAGTGTAGTCGCAAACGTGTAGACAGTCCACTGCGTGAGAAGGCTGGGTGAAAGTGCTCAGGCAGCCTACATTTTCAATTGTAAAATTTAACAATTTAAATTTCACCCCTCAGCTTCCAGAAGAAAAGAATCTAGGTTTTCCCAGGGATGCAAAAGGTTACTTCGATGGCCCTGATGACCACTCTGCTGAAGGCTAAACACAGGAGCTTGAAGCTTTTATCCCTCTCTGTAGGCACAAAAGATAATCAGGGAGAAGGGAGGGACAGTTAGGCTCAGGGTTGTCAACCCACTCCAGGGAGACACTTCCAGTGCCCACTCATTCACGAAGGGAAATTGAGAGCCATCGACTGTAGACCTGAGACTGTCCTGTGCAAATAGGACACAATTATAAGGGTGTGGCTGCTCTCTGCATTGTTTTCTAAAATAATTTAATTCTTCTCTTGAATTATGGATAAAGGACTTGAAATATCTTACCAATTTTGATATAGCCAGATCCATAGGACAGAAGAAAATTGTCATGCATGTAAACTTGAGTACATTTTGTTTAGGGATAAAGAGTACTATCTACAATTAAAGCTATAAAACCAAAAAGGGTTGGAATTCTCATACATTGCTGATAGGAATATAAAGGGGCACAACCACTTCGGGAAATTGTTTGACAATAGCTACAAAAACTAAACCTGTGTGTATGCTATGATCCAGCCATTTCCTTCCTAAAAATATAGCCAATAGAAACGAGCACCAGTGTCCACCAGGAGACTTATACAGGAATGTTCATGCAGCTTCATTCAGAGTAACCAGACACTGGAAACAGCCCAAACATCCATCCGTGGTAGAATGGATGAATCCACACATTGATGGAAAGCAGGAGCTACAGCTAAGCGCAGCAGTGCGGACGGACCTCCCAGTTGTTATCTGAGGGAGGCAGCCGACGCAGGAGTACAAGCTGTGGGATTCCTGCGGCACCAGCATAGGCAAACCTAAAGCCCTCTACGTCTGAATAGCGTTCCCCGCGGGGGTGCACCACTGGGGAGGAGTCACAAGGCAGCCTGTGGGGCCGCCTGTCCTCTAACTTGACCTTGGTAGCAGGTACACAGGTGTGTGCAGGTACACAGGTATGCGCACGTGCACAAGATCATCATGCCACAGCTGCAGATATGTGCCTCCACTGCCTGTCACACTTCAGTGATCCGTGAAAATGCCTAAAGCCACGCACCACAGGCTGGGGCTGTCTAGCAGCACATTGTGCAGCGATGGCCTTGTGCTGGGGGCTGTGCTACTACTGGATAGCACCGATTCCAAATGTCAACCCCAGGAGGGGGAAGGGAGGCCACGGACTTCCACTGTGACCTCTCTATTGTTTGAATTTTTACAAAGAGCATTGAATCGTTTTGTATGTAAAGATATGTATGTATTCGTATGTATAGATAGATTAAAAAGGGACAACAAATAGACCTGGATAACAACTTGTGTGTATTGCTTGAGAAAGGCATGGCCCAAGGGTTGAGACCTGCTCTGAAGTCAGCACGGGGACTTTGAATCGAGATCTTGCCACTTACCTGCAGTTTTTTACCTCTCGGTGCCTGGGTTTCTCCATGTATAGAACAATCATACAGTAGATGATTTTACTTCCCGAGGTTGCTGAGGATTACATGAGAGGGCATGTATATATAAATCCCATGGAAAGATGCCCGGCACACGGTGTGTTGAGGCAGTGTGAGCTGCTAGTATGGTCCACGGTCTCAACCATTTTAGGAAAGAGGGACCCAGAAATGCTGGATGGAAATGTGTCCACACGGAAATAATTATTTTCTTTGCATCTTTACCATCTATTATTTTTTTTTACAGTAAATATGTAAGACTTGGAAACTCAGGAAACAAAACATGAAGAAACCTTAGCTACAATATACCTTTTTGTGTATGGAAACAAATTGAAATCAAACAAGAAGGGGCTGCACCTTCTGAACCATGTAAAGAGAGTCACTGCTTACTGTGGCAGCTTTTACAACAACCACATTCAAATGAGATGCCCTTCATTGAGCTGAGTTTTGAATGATAATATCCATCCTGATGGAGCTTCCCATTCTACCCTAGGCATGTCTTGGTAGAAATCCAGAAGCTTTCCAGCCAAAAATTGGGAAAGGCCAATTGGGCGATGTCAAGCCCCGGCACAACAAAGGGTGCAACTGCAGGAGGTCGGGCTGCCTGAAGAATTACTGCGAGTGCTATGAGGTTAGTGCCCAGCTCCCTAACTCACTAACAAAAAACACAGGTAAATATTTTGAGTAACTTTTGTGGTTAAAAAACTTCGCTGTAATTTAAAAAGATTAATTATTTTTTTCTTCCAGGGTTTCTAGAAGGGCACTTACATTAATCTGAATTAATTTCCCAAATACCAGCTGAGCTTTGTGAACCAGGCCAATTCACCAAGGGCTGTTTTGGAGCATGTTGCTTCCCCTGAGCCCAGCCCTGAGTACCCAATGAGGGCGCCCTCTGCGTGGCTTTGTCCTTCTGCAGCCACTGATCCACGCTGGTCCTCCAGCAGGGTGGAGGCTCCCAGAGGGCAGCCGTGCCTCTTCTTCCCTGAACAAAGCCCAAATGCTCTAAGTGGGGCCGTGGGGGACAGTTTGGTCTCAAAGACTCAGTCTGTTCCTGGTCCCTGTGGCGCTTGTCCCCAGACATCCATTCACCTGGTGCTTTGACCAAGGGTAGCTCCTCCCTGGCTCACAGGCCCATCAGAGACCAGAATGGATATAAATCCCATGGAAAGATGTCAGCCGAAGCCAATGGAGGGAGGCTAACAAAGCAAGCTGCAGATCACAGCCTGGACGGAAGCTTTTTCTTTTCCCAAAGATATAATGACAGCAGAGGGACCCACTTTCCCCTTCAGTGCTGTCGCTGTTTCACCTCTCTTTGCTCTTTCTCTTTTCCTTTTCCTTTGTGTTGAGGGAAAGGAAGAAAGAGAAAGTGAGGGAACCCTTAGGCCCTATCAGGGGAGCAGCTGAGCAAACCTTCCTTACAAACCTCTGTTTTGGTTTGCTTGAAGTCTTTTGGGGGTTCCTGTGAATTATACTTTTCAAAGGCTGTCTGTCACAGAGGGTCAGGCTTGAGAATAGTCCTCCTGATTCTGGAGACATACACTGAAAGACCTGGAAAGGTGGACCCCACAGTCCCCAGCAAAGAGGTGGAAAACACAGTCAAAACATGACAGAGATGCACAGTTGAAACGGAGTGACATCACCCCCGAGGCACCAATTCCAACCGCACTCACAGTAGCTCCTGTGTCCTGCAAAACGCCCTCACTGGCTGCCACGATACTACGGCTCAGCCCATTTCCCCAAGGCCAAGCCTATGCTGGGCACAGCCCACAGAATGTGCAGCCTCACAGGAAAATAGCACTGTCCTTTAGTCTGTGGCATTCGTGTAGACTAGAAACTCTGAAAAGCCTCCTGCTTCAAAACACCCAGAGGTGCAGATGAAACAGAACACATCCCCCTGAAGATGCATCTCTCAGCTGGAAAGAACAAAGGGAAATCCCCGGGGGCCTGAAGGAAAGAGAAAGCCAAAAACCATAGTGATTGGCAGTGCCAGCTCTTGGTCAGCCCCTGGGGCCCACATGAACAAGGATTTGGCATGGGGGGGCAAGAAGGGGCTTGCTGGGTACAGATAGGACACGCCGGTCCCCTGAGCATCACATTGCCAGGAAAAGCTTGAAACAAAATCCAACCGCAAGGCAGCAGGAGAGGTCTCCCCTGAGACCTCCCAGCCACAGACCTGCTCTTGGGCAGGTTTCGAATTCTACTCTCTTGTACATTCTCTGCACCCATAGAAACAGCATAATAGCCTCCCATGCTGAAAGAGAACCATAAGCTAGAGTTTTATAGTCAGCTAAGGCAGGCTTTCTTCAAAACAAGTCAAACGAAGCAGCCTATTGGCTCCCTGGTGGAGAAGGGAGAGCAATGCCCTGTCTGTGCTTGGGACTCAAACCCACACACTAGGCCTCCGCTCTGTCAGCAGCAAGACTACTGCGTCTCCTCAACAGCAGCGTGTGATGAAAACTGCAGATCTCACACACACACACACACATTCTCAAACGCACACATTCAGTCACACACATTCACATTCACTCACACATATACACATACATACCCAAACCCCACACACACTCATATGCACACACACGCATACTCGACACACACCTCACACACTCATACACACACTCAACACACACTCTCACCCACACATTCACACTCAACACACACACACTCACACATTCACAGTCAACACACACACACTCCACACACTCATACACGTTCAACACGCTCTCACCCACACATTCACACTCACTCTCTGTCTCTCTCTCTCTCTCGTGGGCAAATATACGCAAAGAATTATTTAAGGTCCAAATAGAATTTGTCAGTTTTTGATGACTTGTGGGACAACCTAATTTTATTGAAGCATTTTGTATTACCAGGCCAAAATTATGTGTTCTTCTATTTGCAAATGCATTGGTTGCAAAAATTATGAAGAAAGCCCAGAACGAAAGACACTAATGAGCATGCCAAACTATGTGCAGGCTGGAGGTTTGGAAGGCAGTCGCCATCTGCCACCAACGAAATTTTCAGGACTTCCAAAATTCAGTCAGGATAGGTAGGTACTTTGAACTAACCTCTGCTAATAGAGGGAACAGAGGTTAATTTAAAAGGAGAATTAAGGACAATTTATACACTGGAAAGAATGTGTGAGCCTGCAGGGGCGGGCGTGTGTTCAGGGGGCAGAGGGAAGCCGTTCCTCCCTCCATGGGCTAATCCTGGGTGGCGACTGTGTTTCCTTAGAGGCCCTGCTGCGGAAACCTGTTTTGTCCTCTTTGTCTTCTCGGCTCGGCCTTTTCATCCTCACTCTGTGAGTTACTCCTGTTTTGTACCAGATGAAAGAGCCCTGCTGCCAGGATCACCAGCAGGGCCAGCAGAGTTCTGACACTGCCTTTGCGTTAATACAGAGCCACACCGACCCGGGGCAGCAAAGACAGCGCGTACCTCCCTGTCCTTTATTGTGGGAAGTGGCAGCAAAGAGCTGTGCTTGGTCCAAGTTGTTTTCCTTACTAAGCAACTGTGGATCTGGATTAGTTGGATAATTTTGCATTTATCAGTTTTAAAGCCGCATTGTAATCCTAGTAGTTCTCAAAGGTTGAGTCATAATTTTACTATCTATTAGATTCCATTCATTTGTTTAAAAAAAAACTTCTTTGAGTTCAGTGTAATGGTCAATCAAGATAAAGTACCAGATGTCATTAATTAATATTTTGCAAAGCCAAATTCATGCTTATTTGGTTAGAGAGTATCAGAAATACTCATGACTGTGACCTGCAGGGGTGTGTTTTTTGTTTGTTTGTTTGCTTTTTGTTTTTTTTTTTTAAGACCAGCGTTTTCACTCAGTTGCCAGGCTGGAGTGCAGTGGTGCGATCACAGCTCATACAGCCTCAGCCTCCCCAGGTTCAGGTGATCCTCCCATCTCAGCCTCCTGAGTAGCTGGGACTACAGGCACAAGCCACCACATCTGGCTGATTTTTCTATTTTTTGTAGAGGTGGGAGCTCACCATATTGGTCTTGAACTCCTGAATGGTGATTCACCCACCTCTGCCTCCCAAAGTGCTGAGATTACAGGCGTAAGCCACCGCACCCAGCCGACCTGCAGAGGTCTTTATCAGTAAAAATTGACCAAAAGTTGGCTGCATTGCCTGAAGTGATGTGTGCAAATGTCATCGCCTGTAGCAGGATGTGTGCTCCGTGGAGTCCGGCAGGGGCCTGTGCACTAGAGCCTGGTCTTGCAGTGTTAACAGCCCTTCTTTTCCCAAGGGCAACCCTGTCTTCTTCTTCAACCAAAGTCATTGTGTATTGTCTTTATAGACAGACTTTAATCCAAAATTTTACTCTATTTTTATAATCCAAACTTTTTAATCTTTTATAAAGTTTTCCTGAAAATTTGTCAACTTAGCACCACCTGGGTCGCTGTCTAGCTGAGCCACATTTGCCCACTGAGCTCAGCCAGGAGAATAGCTGGTCCTATGTGATACGGTGCAACTTGTCCTTCAGAACCTCTTTCACAGCTCCAAGCGGCATTGAGGGAGAAGGCCATCCTGACAGCAGGACCCCAAGGCTTGACAGGCAAGTCCTCAGAACAGTTGGCCTTCTCTGGCTGCACATGGTCCTGTGGGGAGGAAAGGCGGACACCCAGCATGGACAGGACTCAGAGCAAAGCTGCCTGGCTTGTCCCCATGCCCTGCCTCAGCTAAGAGTCCTGCTTCCACAATTTCCCACCTGGCCCACGTACTTGACTCTGTAGCCCGGGATCCTCTGGGTTTGTCAGTGGATCTAATTTTGAGGAAATTTCAAACCCGCCATGAGAGGGATGTCAAAAGCTGACAGATTTACTTGTCCTCTGTGTTGTTATTCTAAAAGCAGTTAATCCTTTCTTTCTTTCTTTTCTTTTTTTTAAGAGACAGGATGTCGGCCGAGCGTGGTGGCTCACGCCTATAATCTCAGCACTTTGGGAGGCTGAGGAGGGCAGATCATGAGGTCAGGAGATTGAGACCATCCTGGCCAACATGGCAAAACCCCATCTCTACTAAAAATACAAAAATTAGCCAGACATCATGGCACATGCCTATAATCCCAGCTACTTGGGAGATTGAGGCAGGAGAATCACTTGAACCAGGGAGTTGGAGGTTGCAGTGAGCTGAGATCGTGCCATTGCACTCTAGCCTGGTGACAGAACAAGACTCAGTATTAAAAAAAAAACCAAAAAAACAAAAAAAAACAAACAAAAAAGAGAGACAGTGTCTCACTTTGTTGCCCAGGCTGGTTTCAAACTCCTGGCTTCAGACTATCCTCCTGCCTTGGCCTCCCAAGGTGCTAGGATTACAGGCCACTGTGCCTGGCCTAATAGTTTCCAGTATGAGGAAGACAACATTAGATTTTAGTGGATGATGTTCTTTAAAATAGTGTGGACAAGCAATGTTCTGTTGAATATAAATAGTACTATAGGTAGAAACCATGCGCTGTTGAGCGGCCTTTAACTGCTCTGTTTCTGACAGGCGGCCTTCCTCATGCATCTCCTGGGAGGTGGTGGAGGCCACATGCGCCTGCCTGCTGGCTCAGGGAGAAGAGGCCGAGAAGGAACACTGCTCCAAGTGCCTGGCAGAGCAGATGATCCTGGAGGAATTTGGAAGGTGCTTATCACAGATTCTCCACACTGAGTTTAAATCCAAGGGGTTGAAAATGGAGTAGAGTACAGTAGAGTATAAAGTGTGAATGCGTGTTGATTTTGTCTTAGTCCAGAAATCTCTAGTTTAGAAAGGTTGTTTAGGGGAACGTGAAGTGGGCTCTGCAGCAACCACCAGGCTCCCCTGCGTCCCTGGGCCCGGGGAGTTTACTCAGAGCTCTCTGAAGACATGCCAACCCGTGCCCCCTTTTCTGAGGAGGTGCGTGGCCTGAGCACTGTTTGTCTGGCCCAGAGGAGAGAGCTTGGGTTCCCATAGTCCTGGGAGAGTGTCTGCAGGGCAGTGGCGGGCAGAGCAGGGTAGGGGAGGGAAGAGCAGGCCCTGAGGAGAGCTCACTCCGGTCGACTCTTCCTCTTGGAGAATGTTGCTCTGGAGGCTGCTCTGCATAAAAACCCTAATGGTTTCTTGTTTGTTTTTCAAATTATTTAGAAATAAGTTCTCCAGATAGGCTGTTATGATACCACTTAAAATCTCTGGAGAGCTACTGAACACCCAAAGATTTTCTGTAGTGTAGACATTTCCCCAGAGGCACGCAAACTGTAGTCTTTCCTAAGGCCCCCAAGAGACACAGGCAATGGGGCCTCACAGGCCAGGCTTGCACCAGCATGTCTTGAGTTAGCGGACTTAAAATTATCTAGTTTCTTCTGTGTTTCTACTTGAATTGTGGAAAAGCTCTATTATCCAATTAACTTCTCCATAATTATTGTTGTAATATTATTATTATTTGTAAAATATGGTTCACATAACTAGCTTGTGGAAACCAGCAGGTAAAATGAATTCTTAAGTTGACGCTTTCGGTTCTGTTGTAAAGCAAAGATGAATAAAAATTTCCAATGTCTTCAATTGTTGTCATTAACTTAGTAACTGAAAATGTGTTCATCTGATGAGTACCCACCCTGAAATGTATTGAGAGAATATTCTTTCATGTTTGTGCATTCATTAATAGTGTTGGCCACTTAGAGGGTGTTTAGGAAACTCAAGTGCAAATGCAGTGGAGACAGAAGTGTGGCTGCCGGGCCCAGGCACTGGGCACAGAAGTGAGCAAGCAACCAGGGAGGAAGCGGTCTTTTGTGGAGCTGTGTCTGGAACAGTCTAGTTGCAAACGCAGCCACCGGAAGCCACAGAGGAGAAAAGGAAGACTGAATTCTTCCCCTCTGCAATTCCCTTTGGACCCTTGGGATCCAGAGTCTGTGGCAGAAAACCAGAGGTAAAGACATGCATTGTGACACGGGGAACCCTCAGCCAGCCATACTCCCCACTTGCTGTGTGTGCTTTCGGTCCCGTCAGCATCGTGGCGAGCAGGGAGGCGCCCTGCTGGAGGAGCCACCTGGCCCCCTTCACCCCTGGGAGCTGGAAGGTGACCTGGAAATGGGGACTTTGGGAGCTGCCTCTGTAGGGGCTGCCTCCATCCTGCTGTCCCTCTCGGCAGCACAGCCAGCAGCAAGATCTGCCAGCCACATGAGTAATGTTAAAGTTTCTAGTAGCTACATGTTAAAATTTGAAAAGGAACAGATAAAATTCGTTTTAATAATCTTTTATTTATCCCATCGTTTCAATGTGTAATCATAATGAAAATGATTGAGATTTCACATTCCTTTGTGTGTACCCAATATTTGAAATGCAGGGTGTCTTGTATTCACAGCAGGTCTCAGTTGGCACCAGCCACACCTTAAGGGTTCAGGCACCTCAGCACAGCCCTGAGGCACCGAGTGGAGAGAGGAAAAGGGAACAGTGTCCTCCAGCATTCTCCTGAGGCAAAGGGCTGCCTAGGGAGATCCTGAACCAGGTGTGGCCCACCCGCAGAGCCTGGAGGAAGTGTGAGCAGGGAATTCAGTGGGGGGCTGGGGATACAGTCCCCCCACATTACACGGGAGCTCACCCTGAATCCCGGGCTCCTATGGAGAAGGAGCCTGCGCTGGCCAAGGATGCACTGACTGTGGCCAGGTGCACTTGAGCTAACGCCTGGAGGTGAGGGAAGAGCCAACCTGAGCAGGCATGAGCCCTGCAGGATCTTCCAGCAGAGAAGAACTTGCTGAGTAGGTGCCACTTGCAGGGGATCCCATCTGAGAAGTGAAAGCCAAGATACAGACGTGAATAAAGCCACTATGCTGACCAGAGACTGTACAGAAAATGACTATAAAGCTGGAAAATCACATCTTTTATGTGTCTGGCGGAGAGCCAGTGCTATTTTAAAGCAATATACAAATTAATGTATCATGTTCTTATTTGAGAGTGTAGCTGTGCAAATTTAACCATATCTTTTTTTTTTTTTTAAGATGGAGTCTCACTCTGTTGCCCAGGCTGAAGTGTGATGGCGTAATCTCAGCTCACTGCAACCTCCGCCTCCTGGGTTCAAGTGATTCTCCTGCCTCAGCCTCCTGAGTAGCTGGGATTACAGGCGTGCACCACCACGCCCGGCTAATTTTGTATTTTTAGTAGAGATGGGGTTTCACCATGTTGGTCAGGCTGGTCTGGATCTCCTGACCTCAGGTGATCCGCCCACCTCGGCCTCCCAAAGTGTGGGGATTACAGGCGTGAGCCACGGTACCCAGCCTTAATCGTATCTTTCTACTCCGTACCTATTAAATAACTCGGACCACCTTTGTGATTAAGGTTAAATTATCTGTTGGTTTTGGTTTTTTGTTTTGTTTATCCGAAAGAAAAAAAAAAACAAAAAACCTTGTTTTTTCATAGACACGGAGAAGCAATCGTTGTTTGGAATGACACGCACTGAAATTGCTCTTTCCTCTCAGTGAACACGGGCTGCGCATTGCACAGAAAATCGGCACCCGGGGAGCATCCTTAGGAGAGAAGATGCTGTTGGCGGCGGAAGGTCCGCAGAGGGCTCGGTGTATTTTCCATCCGGCTTGGATGCTCTTATCCCCTTACAAACCTCTCACCAGGACCTGAAGTTCTGCCAGCACGGGTCCCTTTTCAGCGGGGGCGCGGCTTAAAACCATAAGAAGTTATCGTGCGGAGTCAGTTAATACGCTGTCTTAGGGAATTCAAAGGTTGAACCCTCATCCGGGATAAGACGATGAGAGCAGCCAGAGGATCCAGAGAGCAGGAGCGGGCAGAAGACAAGCAGGGAGGAGGCCTCCCGTTCTGCAGGCGGCGCGCTCTTTAGGAAGGCACCTGGGCACAGCTGGGGCCCCGTGAAGCCGCGCGGAGCTTTGTGCGCTCTCTCTCCAGGAGTCCTTCGATAGCCTCAAAGCAGGGAGGAAGCCCTGAGCGGCATCTTCCCCCAGCCCTGCCTCCATCCTGCGACCGACCCCGGCCCCCAGCAGAGGCTGGAGAGCAGCAGGGAGCACTGCCCGGCCCCAGCCGCTGATGAAACTAGAACTGAAGACTGTGATTGCATGGATGTTCTCTTCATATATTTAAAAATGATTTAAAATGCTGTGGTGCGATCATAGCTCACTGCAGCCTCAAACTCCTGGCCTCAAGCTATCCTCCCCGGTAGCTGGAACTACAGGCTCACACCAACATACTCAGCTAAGTTTTTGTATTTTTATTTTTTATAGAGACAGGGTCTTGCTATATTGCCCAGGCCTTAAACTCCTAACCTCAAATGATCTTCCCTCCCTGGCCTCCTGAAGCACTGAGATTACAGATGTGAGCCACCGCGCTGGGTCTCTATTTTTTTTACTAGAGTATTTTTTTAGAGTAGTTTTGGGTTCACAGCAAAACTGAGCAGAAAGTGCAGAGATTTCCCATATAATCCATGTCCCCCAAAACGGCAGCCTCCCCACTACCAACATTCCTCACCAGAGCCGTGCCTTTGTTACAACTGATGAACCCACAGTGACACACCATCATCCCAAGTGATACACCATACACCCAAAGCCCACGCTGAGGTTAGGATTCCCGCTTGGTGTTCCACATGCTATGGGTTCTGACAAATGTACAATGGCTCATATCCAGGGTTACAGCCCACAGAACAGTCTCACTGCCCTAAGCCACCCCTGTGCTCGGCCTGTTCATCCTTCCCTCCCCACAACTCCTGGCCGGTCACTGATATTTTTACTCTCTCCACAGTTTTACCTTTCCCAGAATGTCACTTAGGTGGGATCATACAGTAGGTAGCCTCTTCTGACTGGCTTCTTGCACTTGGGAGTGTGCATTTATGTCCTCTGTATCTTTTCATGGCTTCATAGCTCATCAAGCTTAGCACTGAATAATATTCCGTTGCCTGGATGTACCACTGTTCATCCCTTCATCTCCTGAAGAACAGCTGAGTTGCTTCCAAGTTTGGGCAACTCGGAATAAAGCTGCCGTAAATATCTGCATGCAGGTTTCTGTGCGGACACAAGTTTTTAATCCCTTTGGGTCAACGTCAATGCTCACGACTTCTGGATCATGTAGTAAGGATATATTTAGTTTTGCATGAAACCACCAAGCTGTCTTCCAAAGTGGCCGTATCATTGAGTATTCCTACCAGCAGTGAACGAGAGTTCCTGTGGCTCCATCTCCTCACCAGCACTTAGCATTGTCAGTGTTTGGGATTTTAGCCGTTCTAATAGGTGTGTACTGGTATTCTAATTTGTTCACTGCTATTTTAATTTGCAGTTCCCCAATGACATATGACGTTGAGCATATCTCCATATGCCTACTTTCCATCTGCACATCTTCTTTGGTGAGATGTCAGTTGAGGTCTTTTGTTCATTGTTTAATTGGGTTGTTTCCTTTCTTATTGTTGGGTTTTACGAATTCTTTGTGTATTTTCGATAACAGTCCTTTATTAGATACATCCTTTGCAAATATTTTCTCCCAGTCTGTGGCGTGTCTCCTCACTTTCCTGACAGTGTATTTTGCAGAGCAGAAGTTTTTAATAAAGTCCAGCTCATCAATTTTTTTTTTCGTGGATCATACCTTTGGCATAGTTCACTAAAAAAATCATTGTCATATGCAGACCATCCATATTTTCTCCTATGTTATCATCTAGGGATTTTATTTTATTTTATTTTATTTTATTTTATTTTATTTTATTTTTGAGATGGAGTCTCTCTCTGTCCCCCAGGATAGAGTGCAGTGGGGCAATCTCGGCTCACTGCAACCTCTGCCTCCCGGGTTCGAGTGACCCTCCTACCTCAGCCTCCTGAGTAGCTGGGATTACAGGCGCCTGCTACCATGCCTGGCTAAGTTTTGTGTTTTTAGTAGAGATGGGGTTTCACCATGTTGGCCAGGCTGGTCTCGAACCCATGACCTCAAGCAATCCTCCCACCTTGGCCTCGCAATGTGCTAGGATTACACGTGTGAGTCACTGCACCTGGCCAATCTTTCAGGAATTTTATAGTTTACAGTTTACATTTAGGTCTATGATCTATTTTGAGTTAATTTTGGTGAAAAGGATAAGAGGCTTTATCTAGAGTCATTTGTTTGCCTGTGAGTGTCCAGTTGTTCTGGCACCATCTGTCAAAAAGCCTGTCTTTTCTCCATGGTATTGCTTCTGTTCCTTTGTCAGAGATCAGTTGGCTCTGTTTGTATGAGTCTGGGCCCTCTATTCTGTTCCACTAATCTATTTTTCTATTCTTTTACTAATACCACACCATCTTGATTACTGTAGCTTTATAGCAGCCTTCCAACTTTGTTCTTTTCTTTCAATATTGTTTTGGTTATTCTGGGTCTTTTGCCTCTCCATGTAAACTTTAGAATCAGGGGTTGTGTTTTGGTTTTTTGTTTGTTTGTTTGTTTGTTTGAGACAAGATCTCAGTATGTTGCCCAGGCTGGAGTGCAGTGGTGTGTGATCATGACTCACTGCAGCATTGACCTCCCAGGCTCAAGTGATCCTCCTGTCAGCCTCCTGAGCAGCTGGTACCACAGGTGTACATCATCATGCCTGGCTAATTTTTTTTTATTATTTGTAGAGACAAGGTCTCACTATGTTGTCCAGGTTGGTCTCAAACTCCTGGGCTCAAGCGATCCTCCTGCCTTGGCCTCACAAAGTGCTGGGATTATAGGCATGAGCCACTGTGCCTGGCCCAGGAATCAGTTTTTTGCTATCCACAAAATAACTTGCCACAATTGTTATTGGAATTGTGTTGAATTTATACATCAGATTGGGAATATCTAATGTTTGACAATATTGAGTCTTCTTATCCGCAAGCATGGAATATTTCTCCATTTATTTAGCTCTGTATTTATTTCTTTCATCAGAGTTGCATAGTTTTCCTCATATAGGTTTTGGTAAATGCATACCTAAGTATTACATTTTTGGGGAGTGCTAACGTAAATGGTATTGCATTTTTAATTTCAAATTTTACTTGTTCATTGCTGGTATATAGGAAAGCTATTGACTTTTGTTTATTAACCTTGTATCCTGCAACTTTGCTATAATTGCTTATTAATTCCAGGAGGTTTGTTGTTGTTGATGATACTTTTAGAAGTTCTGCATAGATGATCATGATGTCTGCAAACAAAGTTTTATTTATTCCTTCCCAATCCGTAAACTTTGTATATCCTTTTCTTATCTTATTGCATTAACTAAGCATTCCAGTACAAAGTTTAAAAGAGTGATGAGAGAGGACATCTTCGGCTTCTTTTTCTCACTATTAATTGTGATATTAGTGTAGGTTTCTGGTAGGTGTTCTTTAACATGTTGACAAAGTTCACCTCTATTTCTAGTTCTTATTAGGAATGGGTGTTAGATTTTGTAAAATGCTTTTTCTGCGTGCATTGATATAATTATGGGATCTCTCTTCTTTAGCCTGTTGATTTGATGAATTACATCAATTGATTTTTGAATGTTACACCAGCTTTGCATACCTGTGATAAATTCCACTTAGTAATGGCGTATAATTTTATCTACACATTGTTGGATTTAATTTGCTAATGTTTTGTTGAGAATTTTTGCTTGTATGTTCATGAGAGATATTGGTCTATAGTTTTCTTTTAATGTCTTTGTCTGGTTTGGGTTTTAGAGTTATGCTGGCCTCATAGAATGAGTTAGGAAACATTCCCTCCGGTTCTATCTTCTGAAAGAGATTATAGAGAATTTAAAATAATTTCTTTCCTAAATGTTTGCTAGAATTCAACAGTGAACCCATCAGGGCTTCCAAAAATATTTTAACTTGCTTCTTTAAAAATTAAAGTTTTCATTTTGCAATAACTATAGATTCACATGCAGTTTTAAGAAATAATACAGAGAAATGCAATGTACCCTTTATCCAGTTTTCCTAATGATAATAACATCTTACAAATCTGTAGGACAATATGACAACCAAGATAGCGACATTGATACTGTCAAGAGACAGAACATTTCTGTCACCTCAAGGGTCTCTCAAGTTCAAGTTACCCACACACA